AACACTGTTCAGTAAAAGAAGCCTTCCACAGGAGACTACCTGATGGGCATGGGCATGATTCACCTAAGGCAAGTGGGCAAAAAACCAAAACCAGCAGAAGAACTGCCAATTCTGGGAGGCGAAGGTAAGGGAGGAGTTTCTGGAGGAGCATAAAGGAACTCTGGTGACACAAACATTCTGCACTACTTAACTGGGTCTTGTTAAGTAAGTAGTTCAGGCTGGCCTCAAATTTGAGACCCCCTGCTTCTGTCTCTTGATTGCTAGGATGACACCACAGTTGGCAATGTTCTGAATCTTAACAGTGTTTTGTTACACAGGTCTGTCAAAGCACACCAAGGTAAGCTAAGTCTGTGTATTCTGCTGTGTATAAACTCCCAGGGAAAACCGCCACACGGAATGCTGGTTAACATGGCACGTGCAGAGCATCTGGGAGGACAGCCCAGGTGAGAACACGGAGTTCTCTGGGGTACTCAGCATTTCCTAGCATTCTAGCTTTCCCAAGACACACAAGGACACAGTTACAGGATTTAAAGCCACTGCTGAGGGAGGAGAGGAAGGAACGGAAATGAATTAAAAAAATCTACGAGGAGAAGGTATGACTCACTGGCTTCTCGTGGGTAACTACCCTCTGAAACTTCATCTTGTGAAAACAGTCAAGGCACACTAAATGCAAAACGGGTTCTGGGCAGAGTTGATTAAAAAGGAATAAAACTCCTTTAGAAGATTGTTCTGAGCTATCTGGCAACATTCGCACTCTGGTGACCGGTGACTCAGAAGGCACTATGGTCTTTTCTCCCAAGTGAAGATGTTTTATGAGATGACAGTACTCAGTAACTGTCGGTCTCTGGAGACCTGAAGAGGCTCAGTCGATGGGATAGTGAGTGATTACCAGTGGCCTGCGGGATTCAACAGCTTTTCCAGGGGCCAGGCCTGCACTGTCCTTGAGCAGACCTGTGTTCCTCCACTTTCTGCCTGCAAAGGTTTCAGGCTTCTGGCTACCTGCTGGCCACAAAAAATAACCAGGTTCACACTCTCAGGCTCTTTTGAAGTCTAATCCTAATCTTTGCAGTTAAATAGACAAACAAACAAACAAACAAACAAACCAACCTTTAACTACTCAGGTTAGACACAGGAAGTCCAAGGAGGGACACTTAGTCTATAGTGTGACCCAGGATGCTTAACCTTCAAGACTGGTGGCTTGCCTGCCACCTCACAGAACTGAAGGCCAAGTTTAAAATGAACCCTTGAGCTGGGCGGTAGTGACGCACACGCCCCTTAATACCAGTACTTGGGAGGCAGAGGCAGGCAGATCTCCATGAGCGTAAGGCCAGCTTGGGCTATACAGAGAAACCCTGACTCCAAAATTCCACTGACACATCTTGTCCTACTGAGCAAACTCACATCAGTGCTGTAGCTGGGCTGTGCAATGAGGAAATGCCTACTGTGGCTCAGTACTGAGCCAGCTCCACGAAGGGAGGTGGGCTGCTCTGGAAAACAACTTCTAAAAGAATACATCAAACCAAAACCAGTTTTCCTGGGCTCTTCTTTCATTCACAACGATGCTAACATTTGAAAACAGTTTTGTTTCTAGCTCAGTTCAGAAACTGCTGCCTCAACTGACACATAATGTCCCTTAAACACTTTATTATAGGGAGTTGTATGAAGAATCGACCTCAACAAAGCAAACAAGAGCTCACAAATAGGCACTTTCATATTGCCTCACAAAGGACAGAGACAGGAGTGGGGAGAGAAGGGGCCAAGACACCAGCCCACTTGGGCTGTAGAATAACGGAGCGCCTCACTGAGGTGGCTTCGTGGCTCCTGGCTTGCACTTTTATTACTTCCTAGGAGCCATTCATGAGATTTGCTGCAATGAAGGCTCAAGTCAGTAACATTTTTTAAAGCTAAAAGCAGAGCGCCCCCTTGAGGTAAAGAACAGAACGAGCCTATGCTGGCCCTGGCCAGGCAGCCCCAGAAGAGAGGCTTTGTCCCCTCGTGGGCTTTTTGGACACACATCGTGATCCAAATTGAGTGAATTACAACATAAAACCCAATTTTTATCACAAAAATAGATGACGTATGGCCAAATACTCTGATCACCAAAATATTTATCACCAAACTGTAGCAAGATTGCCAACATTTCAGTTGACGAAAATATCAGAGCAGCTGCACCCCAGAAACTCCGCATTTGCTTGGTCAGCCTGCTCCATCAGTTCTCAGGGCTCAAACCCCACGGGGAACTCGGAGCCAAGTCACAGGAGAGGTGTGCCTTAACACAGACATAGCTGAACTTCACATATATAAACACTGTGTATATGGCTGACAAAATGGCTTATCTGTGCCATGTATCTGTAATCCCAGCTTTTCTGCTGTGAGATGAGAGACAGACAAGGGTCACTAGGCAGCTCAAGGGCTTGGAAGCCTGGAAGGTAAGGCTCAGCAGCAGACTAAAGAGTTGCTGCGGTGGCAGCAAAGCAGAAGCAGAGGACTGAAAGCTGTCTTCTGACCTCCACACAAGCGCCATACATTTTAAGAAGAAATAAAAGAAATAATTTAAAAGTATTTAATGTAAGTAAATAAATCTTCCCAAGCTTGGGTACATATAGAGCCCTTTTCTCAACACAGGTTTCTTAAGTTGAAGGTGTGTATTTGTGTGTGTGTGCGTGTGTGCACACGCGAGGAAGCCAGAGGACATCGGGCTCATTGTCACGTGAGAAGAAAGATTCAGTGGTATTGAAGATAACACTGCTGGGGTTTTTAGAAGCGAATGTGCTCAGTTGGGAACCCAGAGTCACTCCTGCCACTATGTCTCCATCTTGGACTAATGGAGGCTAGTCCCCAACATCATACTTTAACTACACTTATCACATCTGACTCTTGAGTACAAAGAGGAGTGAGCTGAGTTACATCATCACTCCTCTATTCTAAAGTTTTCAGACTGAGGGTTTCACTAAGCATGACTCATATTCACAATGACCAACGTTTTGAACAAATAGTAAAAATAGATGCCATACCACCTAGCTACCGAGGTCCCTGTGGGACAAGTCACATACCCAGAAGTCTAGATTCAGGGACACAGAGTTTACCAGTATTTATCAGTCAAACACAAGCACTTGCTCACCACACATTCTTCCAGAGGATCAATCTTTTATGCAACCCCTCAAGCTATCCCTAACTTCTATTTACATTTATGAAACACCATCTTTATTTAAATTTCACAAGCCCAAAGGAAAGCAACAGGGGAAGGAAGGGACAAAGGAAAGTATAAGCTCATTCCAGGAGGTAACCCTACCAAAGTCATCACTGTTGATCTCTGATAGCAGAGTGACCACTTAAAGTCCATTCTCACGTGTATTCAGGCTTTAGCTTCGGGTCAAAAAGCTCCCCTCATGTCCATTCTTGGCCTGATACTATTTATCACCACAAAAAAGCCTATGAGGCAGCACTATTTCACCCACCTTGTAATCAGCAGCATGACAGTCTCCTTCCCTTTCACAAGAGAAGCCAAAGTCTGATGGTGCTAGGGGTGTTGGAAAGAGAACCACTCTCTTTTTAACATTCCAGTGCATGCGTGTGCGCACACGCACACACACACACACGCACGCGCACACACACACACACACACACACACCTTTTACGCCTAGCAATTTCTAACTTCAGGCTCTGAAGGTAGCCTGGGGTTTCTATTCCCACTTGGCCATCAACTACCTGTGTTAAGCCTGGGTAAGCAGCTTTACGTCTCTAGGCTCTGGATTCCTCCAATGTAAAGCAGAGGAAATCTGAACACCACACTCAAAGGCTCACTGTGAAGTGAATCACAATGGTTCCACAACAAATGTAAGCCTCCTTTACTCTCAGCTCTTCTTCCTCCTTCCTCAGTGATGATCTTGGCCTGTGACAACCACACAGATAGGCCTGGGTAGACACATACATGATGGGACCGTACAGCACAAACTGTTCTGAACATTGCTTTTTGTCTTAGCACACCTTGGAGATGCAAAACTCTTCTACTAGATGAAAGCATTCCTCCACGAGGCTGTGAATATCACCTATGACTGAAAATCTCCACTGTGTACCTACAGCCAAGACTTCCTTTTCTGGACCCTACAGGACATCTCTATATACATCATGGGCATTTCAAAGATAACAAACCAAAAGTAAACTTCTTAATTTCCTCCATCAAACCTGAGCTTTCCTACTTTAGCATATATTTCCATCCAGTTACTCACGTATCCAACGAAGGCTTGGCTTTTGATGCCTCTAATCAGTCTCTTCTCCATTATCACTGCCACTACCCTTGGTGAACCAAGGTGAGAAGGAAGCTTAGAGGCTTCTCACATTCCCATGGTAACCCTCTAACCTGTCAGTCAGAAGACAGTTCAATGACCTTGCCTGTTAACAAAGATGTGTTGGCTTGAAACAACATACTTCTACATTTCATACAAGCTCCAGCTCCTTGAAATACATAATTTGGCCCACGCTGAGTCTTTCAACGTCACCTGAGGACATTCCCTTGCTCACTGGAGTATAACCCAGTGGCCTGTGGAAAGAGCTCTCCCTTCTCAGTGTCCTCCTTGTGCCCTAAGGAAGGTCTCAGACTCGCCATCCTACAGCAGGACCGTGTCACACCACGCCCTTTCCATCATACCCTTTACTCTGTAAGACACCGATATAAAAGGAAAGCACCACAAGGACACACAGCTCTGTCTTGTTCACCATGCTGTGCCCACTGCCTGTAACTGCATAGACACGCGGTGGTTTGAGTAAGAATGGCCCCCACGGGCTCATATATTTGAATGCTTGGTCACCAGGGAGTGGAATTCTTTAGAACAATTAGGAGGTGTGGCTCCATGAAAATAATTCTTTCCCAGACACAGACATACACAAAGAAAGAGTACAAGAAATTCAGAATATATACACAGAAAGGATCACATTTTCACAGGGAGCTGCTAGGAGGATGAGCAGACGGTCACTCAGAGTGAGAAAATAGGGCTTCTTACTTGATTGCCTCAAGAACATTGTTTGAAGTGTGGCCTGATAAAGCATCATGCAAATTTCGGATAAAATAATCTCTGTATTCTTCTGGAAGGGCCATGAACGTTCCACCCATCACGATGAACTCCACCTTGTCCACGGAGTGACCAAGCTGCTTTAGCTGGAAGAAACACACACTCATCAGAGCATCACCCTAGAGAAGCTGCAGGATTTCCAATTTCATCTTATAGTCGCACCAGCACAGTTTACAGTAAAACACATGTTGTTAATTCAGTGCATTTAAAAAACAATTCCTGGGGGGCTGGAGAGATGGCTCAGAGGTTAAGAGCACTGGCTGCTCTTCCAGAGGTCCTGAGTTCAATTCCCAGCAACCACATATTATAGCAACCATCTGTACTGAGATCTGGCGCCCTCCTCTGGTGTGCGGGCATACATGGAGGCAGAATGTTGTATACATAATAAATAAATCTTAAAAAAAGAACAAAAAACAAAAACAAAAAAATTCCTGCTCAAAAAAGATGGGAAAGAGAATTAAAACTGAAGCAGAAGCCAGACTTCAATGCTGACAGTTAAATAGGAACTTAACAACAGGAAGAGTTTTAAGATATAACAGAATATAATAAATAAAAAATCAATATAATGTAGTATCAAATACTGCAAAAATTTACTGATCATATATTTTATGTCTGACTTCACAGTAGAAACACACAGTGGCGGGTGATGCATAACCTGGACTTAGTGCACAGGGAGAAAGAGGAGTACTAGGTAGAGTGAGACTTGAAGATGCAATCTAAAGACGACTGTGGGCACAGGCCCTCAGGATGCTACTGGAAAACCAAAGCACTAACTGACTGCCCCAAAATGAAATATCGCATCTTTCCTACTTCAGGGCAGAAGGGCACAACTGTCCACTCGGTCAGCTACAATAAACCTGGATTTGAAGTTTTAAAAGTTTTTAAATTTCTTGTTGTATGTTAGGTATAAGGAAACTGGATCAAAATGTCAAATTATGAACTAGAATATATCATGTAATGACTATCTCCATGGAACCTTTCAAAAATAGTTGTTTCTGCAAGTACCAAGTAGCAACTGCTGTTACTGTGTCTGTGCATCTGAGTCAGCGTGTGTCTCCCCATGAACATTACACGGCTAACAGAAAACTGTCCTGGTAGCATCTACAAAAGCTCCTGCTAGGACTCCAAGCCAAACTCCACACTCACCTCCAGAGGTGGAGACCCACCCCACTGCCACTGTCACTGTTTCCCATGGCTCTACTACATGTACAGTTAGAAAAGAATTGTTACTCTATGTGATTCTCATAATGTCTAAACCTAGGATCTTCAAACATTTTAGTAAGTATACCTTTTCATACTCTGTTAAGACATTTTTAGTAGTATACCATTTCATACTCTGTTAAGACAGTTTTCCATCTTGCGATGGCTATTCTTGGTTGTCAACTTGACTACATCTGGAATTAACGAAAACCTAAATGACTGGGTATACCTGTGAGGGATTTTTTTTCTTAATTAAATCATCTGAAGTAGAAAACCCCCTTCTAATCCAGATCTTTCGAGGTGGGAAGATCTCTGCCACACCTTCTGCTGGAAGCCTAAAGAACAGGGAGAAGGAAGCTCTCTCTGCCTGCTTATTCTTGCTCTTGCTACCAAGACCATCCCTTCATTAGCTTCAGAGCTCACTTCTTTGGGGCTCCCCATATACTGAAGGTCGGCTGAGATATTCTGCTTCGTAGACTGAACTACTGGATTCTTAGACCATCTGTTCATAGGCAGCTATTGCTAGATTAGCTGGCCCGCAGCCTGAAAATCATTTCATTTTATAAGTTCTGTTCTATTGATCCTGACTAATATTATTTTAAATGAGTTACATACCATATTTGAATACAAAAACGAGGTCAAAGTCAGTTCAGAACACGTTTTCCCAAGCCTCATGGGCTCCCCGGGTAGGGTCCTCTTACAGCAAACACTCCTGCCCTACATGTGCTTGGGTGACAGCAAAGTGATCACTAGAACTGGTGGTGTTCAACAACAGACACCCAAACCCAGAAGCAACGTGTGTACTATACGCTCTATTTTAGACCTTCTATTTATATCGCCATGTAAATTACTATAACAACTACAGATGGTGCTTACATTTTAACACTTGTCAACTATGTTTAGAGAAGTTCAAGATCACCATCATAGTACTAGCTTTAACCTGTTGTGTTAATGTATAAATTATATGCAATAAAATCCACCCCCTTTAAAAGGCACAAATGGGGAGTTTGATGGAGTATACATCACCACGGTCATGGCACAGAACAAGTCCACAAGACCCAAACAGCCACCCACACCATTTTTCTGTAAACTGCCTGCTCTCACTGACCAAGCCTGTCACACTTCTTCACCTGGCTCTGGAAGCTGACGTTCAACCCCTTGTTGACTGTTAAAGAACTTTTACACACTTCCATAAGTGACTTCCTTCAAACTGAGAGGAGTACAAGAATATAAAAGCCTTCAAGGAAACAGGAGTCTCTAAGGAGTGCAAGTCTAACCACACACGGCACAGAAAGTCTCTCCAGATGAGCGTAAAATTACACTCTTCTCTCCTTCACAACGACTCCAAATCAAGCAACGTCACGGCAACACTTGAAGCACAAAAAACAATTTAAAAGTTTCTTTACCTGCTCAATCCGATGTCTTGTCTGCAGATAAGGGTCGTATCTAGCACGAATAGCTCGCATGGAAGTTGGCTAAGTAAATAAGGAAAAAATATATTAAAGTCATAACAAATTAAAAAAATACTGAAGGAGTGAAGGGTTGTATTAAAATTAAACTACTCAAGGGATTTTAACACTAAAGCCATGCCTCATATCCCACCTTCCTTTCTCAGTTTTGGCAAGGTGCAGAACATCAGGTTAGTCCCTACCACACTGCTGAGGGTACCTCAACAGCAGGGCATCTTCTTGGTTTTCAGTCACCTTCTGTGGAAATGTAATGACATCCAAAGCATAGGGTGCACACACACCGATGGGCATACATACAAGAGAGTCATGTAGCAAAATGCTCTTTGCACAAAGCCTTTATTGTTACACAAGGGTTCTAATGGTTCAGCAAATTGTCTTGACGCCACTATCACACTGGAAACTACCGTGATGAAGCAGTTTCCTAGCATACAAGGACGATAAGCTTCTTTTTGGAACAGCAGCAGGTGGAAACTATTATAGAGACCCACAACTGGTCAGAATACAGAAAGTAAGTGATAGCGGAGTGGCTAACTCCAGCTGATACAACCTCTACACCAAACGCTCAGGGAGAGGTGGGCAGAAAACCAGGTCATGTCTTTTAGATGTGACAGGGATAAATACACTTACAAGGTCCCAACAAATGACTATCTGAACAAGACAATGACATTACCAGCTGACATGCCAACATGGATGGGGATTTCCTAAAGCCCTACCACTAGAAAATGAGCTACAGGCAATCGATGGTGCTGAGAAAGGGAGAATCAGTTTTTTCCAGGGACAAGCGCTCTGATCGATTATCTAATTCCCAAAGTCCTTGTGGTTAGGAAGTTGAGATAGGAATACTATTAAAAGGTTGAGGTCAATCTGAGTTATAAAGAGAAATGTCTAAAAAAAAAAACCACACACACACACACACACACAAAACACACACACACACATATATATATTCTATGCCTCAAATTCTTCACCATAAAACTGAGATAATCACAGTATCTTGTTTCCAAATACTGCTGAAAGGGTTGGAGTGGCAAAGCACTTGGGACAGTGGTCGGAAATAATAGTAAGAAATGCTCATGTTAGCACTGCTCCAGTGGCTTGGCACACATATGGTCAAATATCTGGCAAAAAGCTTTCTAATCAGGAAAAAAGCCCACACTTCTAAGAACGTTGGTACCTGTCATGCCACACTCTGGATCACAGCACTTAGTCAGGATTAAGTCTTTACCTCGTAGCCTGTGTAAGACTGGGTTGAGTACTCAAAATCCGAGTCAGGTCCTCCAGGGCAGTATCTAGACACAACAGAAAGGGAGGGCAGGTGAAATACTAGGTCCAACAGAAAATCCTGCTATCAAAGCGGCTTTGCCATCACCTCAAACAGCAGTCCGCTCTCGCAGCATTGTTTACCAACAAGCAAACAAGACAGTAAGTGAAGGAACATGACGACATTCGTGTCCAGAACACTGCAGGCAAAGATCTTTACATCTTAATGAGGGAGCCCAGTTTGTCCAGTTTGGATGATTCTATGCTTTCCTGGGGCCCATATTCAGGAAAATTTCCCTCCCATTTAATCTTCCTACTCAAGCCATGCATTTGTACCCATGAATTCTTCTCAATGCCTCAACTACAGAAATCTAACAGCTATTTATAAGAATAATTTAAAAACTTTGATATTTTTCTGGTCCAAATTCATTTTGAATTTGATGCTGGAATCCAGGAAGCTTGTTAGTCACAGATGTCCGTTATCCCAAGCTCATAACCTATGGTATTTCAGCACTGCAGCAGTGGTTGCTCCACTTTCAAAGTGCTGAAATACCTTACCAAAGCTGCGAGTCTATGCAGCAACATCTTAATATCATCAGCCTGCACTTGCAGGGCATTAGAAAATCTACTTACTAGTTTAACTGAAACACACACACCAACTTGTCAAAATCATACTTACACACATATATTCCCTGTAAAATTGATGTGTGGACATCTGTGAGGTTTGCACATCACAGCCACAACAGCAATCTATAAAAGAAAGATTAATTAAAAAGCTATCACTGAAAAATTAACACAGTTCTACAGAGTGGTTACCTTACGAGCGAGGGAAAGGAATGTAACTGGAGCTGCACATTAGGGTCTTCATGATATGAAGAGGGGAAAGATCGATGCAACCTGAAGAGAAATCTGGGTATCTCTCTCAAAATACGGATGGCGCTACACCCTAAAGCTGAATTCTTTTATACTGATAATATCTGAATTGTATATATGAGTTTTATAATTGGTTTTATGGTAAATACAGAATAAGGAACTGTTATTAGTAATTTGTGGTGATGGAGACTGCATCCAGAGTCTTTGAGCACTACTCCTCCACTGAGCTGTAAACCCAGTACTGGAAATTAATTTTTAAGGTTTGGATGAGTCTTATTCTCTCTCTAGTTTTTTTGCTAAAATATCGACAAAGGTCACTATATATATTAAACCTAATCATTATTATTCAAATTCCACAACACTCTAGATTTCAATCTATAGCAGAAAGCAGGGAAGTTAGGGACCAGACTGATCCAGAGTCTATGTGTAAAATCTCAGAGTACCTGACTGAGTCCAGGATGGGTGAGGGAAAGAGCCTGCTTGAGAAAAGGCTGGTAGCAAAGATTTTAAGGCTAGGCCGGGCTGTGGTGGTGCATGCATTTAATCCCAGCACTCGGGATGCAGAGGCAGTTGAATCTCTTTGAGTTCAAGGCCAGCCTGGTCTACAAGAGCTAGTTCCAGGACAGCTACACAGGAAAGCCCTGTCTCGAAAAACAAAAAACAAACAAAAAACAAAAGATATTAAGGCTATTAAGATATTAACACAGGAAGTAGCTGACCAGATAGAGCCACACTAAGGCTAACATGAGCAGGATTTCCTACAGACAGAGAGGAAGCTGTACGTGTAACAGAGAGAATCAGAATGAAGCCCAGGGCTGAAGAAACTAAAGTATTGTTCTCCAAATACAGTTGTTGACAGATCAAGACACCCTGAAACAGATGGAAGTGTGCTTATGTAAGCACACACATGTGTGCAGATTACCAAAAAGGCATGACCCAGCTCTAGTTACACAGAAGCAGTAGTTAAAGCAAACTGAGAAATGTGCTAGGAATGACAATCTTCACTATGAAGATAATGAAACCAAGGAAAGACAGGACAGGTATGTTCTGAGGAGCCATGGCAACCAGGTTCAGCAGGGATTCTGAACTGAGATGTTATTGAAACAGCAGGTGGTGAGAAGAAGACAGCAACGCACACAAGCTAAACTCCCGGGTTTTCATTTTTGTTTTTTAAGTTTTTGTGTGTGTACAAGTACTTGTTAATAACATATGTGCATCAGATTTGAAAGCACATTGTATGTAAAAATTGTGGGGTTCAACTGTCTACAAATATCAGAATCCAGAAGAGTAAGTCACTAAAGTAGCCAACACAGGCACTGGAAATGTCATATCCTGATCCAGACAGCATACCAAACATACTGGGTCATACGATGAACACAGACTTCAACTCTGGAACCCCTTTCCAATGAACCCTAATCCTGACCCTGCCCATTTCCCCTGGCCTCTCACACTCAGCGATCCTAGAGCCTCAATCCCAATTCAGCCCATAATGCTTTACAGAGATCAGGACAAGAGTTCCCAACACAGCCTTACATTTCTGAACTGCTATGCAGGCTGGACCTGGACTAACTTTCTCGAAACTTGTCCTGCTCATATCAGGACCCTATACAGGCACCTGAAATGGTTTCTTGTTATCTGGTTTCTTTGCCAGATGTACGTGACTGTTTACAAGCTAATCCTAAACAAGGTCCCTAGTTGTCTCAGATGAACTCAGTATGAGTTCAAAGGTCAGTGTGGTATCTACAGTGAGACTGTCTCAAAAAGAAAATCATCAATCAAGTGAACTCTGAGTTTCCACCCATCTGTGGCACTCCCTGCCTGCACCCTTCACGCCCCTCCTACCTCTGTGATCTCTTTCCTATTCCTTTCTTGTTCCCAACACTCTGAGCCCGACCCCTCCCCCATAATCCAAGCATACTCACAGGTCAGGAAAGCACCATGCTTTCTGCTGGGGCTCCCTTTTGCTGTGGGGACCCGTATCTCTGGACACCCATGCACTCCCTATTGGAGATTTACTCCATAATCATCACATATAAAACTACCCTGCTGGGGCTGGAGAGATGGCTCAGCGGTTCAGAGCACTGGCTGCCCTTCCAGAGGAGCTGGGTTCAAGTCCCAGCATGCACATGACAGCTCATGGCTGACTGTAACCCCAGCTTCAAGGGATCTGACACCCTCACACATACATGCAGGCAAACATCAATACACATACAATAAAAATAAATTAAAAAGCGAAACAAAAGGAAAGAAAACCCTACCCTGCACCATGATATGATTTTTAGAAGTACCAACTGGAAGCTATCAGCAATAAGAGGGTCAGCAACAGTTGTTATAGTGCTAAGTGACCGAGCCTCAATCTTTAAAGACACTACAAAAACTGCTTTAAGCATACTGGCTGGCTTCCTTTCCCTTTCAGCATCGCTGCACCCCTCTTCACTCGAGCACACAGAACGACAGACTTCAGGAGTCTGAGCTCCCCACCCCACCTCGTCATCGCCACCACCAGTTCTCCAGCTCAGCCACTTACCCCACTGGCAGTCCTGATGGGTTTGGCCCTTAACTTGGGAATCAGGGCCTTTCGATAGTGAGGAGGGACCGCAGCGATGATGTCCACCAGGCGGGGCTGGGATGAAAGGCCATACTTGGAAGCTGTCTTGGTTTTCACTCTGAAACCCAAGCATTTAGAGTTATCAAGATCACAGCACTTCAGGCACAAGTTACTGACAGAATGATGTGTACACATAACATCTGGCCCTGCTCTACCCTTCACTGGGGGCAAGAGCGGCTTAACAACCTATACACTAAGGAAACAAAGGTCAAAATCTGTTAGTAAGCACCCTGCTTTCCTTTAACCCTAAACACTAGGAAGTAAAGCAGGACTGTGGGCCCAGGATAATGGCATAGTGAAGGTCTCTTTCCAAACCTTTCCACCCTAAAGAACTACTCTGAGCTAACTACCTTTTCAGTCTCGCTGTTGACATTTGGGACTGTGTGTAGACTTTGCCATGTGTCCCCAGGAAGAAATCAACCCAATCAAGAACTACTTCCTTGGATAAAATATAATATATAAAAGCAACAACAAATCAAACCAGAATACAAATTCTAGAATCTACCTTACCTATTAAAAAACAAGAGCTAGTTCTAGGACAGGAACCAAAAGCTACGGAAAAACCCTGTCTCGAAAAATCAAAAAAAAAAAAAACAAAAAAACAAAAAAACAAAAACCAAAAAACAAAACAATTCTGTCTCCTCCTACCTATGACCCTATCTATAACCCCAAGAGTATCTTCTGTTCAAATAATTACTTTAATTCCTAAACCCCTCTTCCATTTGTCTTGCTATACCCAGGTTAGCTTCGGACTCAAAATTCTCCCTCTGCCCCTGAATGCTGAGATTACAGATGCGTGGTGTATCCAGCTTATCCCTTTATCTTTTCTACAATTTGACCAGCTTTGCTTTTCTTTGTGCCCACTAGCCAAATCCTACCGGTGGCATTGTCTTCTAATTGATCTACCTAGACAAAATCTGTGGGCTGCTCACAATGTTTTCAGCTAACTGAATAGCTAGCACGCACAGGCAACTATCCGCATATGTGGTATGTCAGGTGTAAGCCACAGTCCTTTCTTGTGATGTGTTGTGGCTAAGCTCATACACATACACCACAGGCAAGGGCTGCTTCCCGAATACAGGAAGGGACTTTAACATGTGCTGGGGAAATTAGGGAAGACAGACCAGAGAAGCGCTCAGGTCTCAAGCAGTAGACACAGGGATGTCACTCTAAGACATTGTAGGAAAAGCTTTAGACTAGAATGCTTTCAGAGTCACAAGAGGACAATTATGACTCACTTATTCCTTTAGCAAATGCTTTCTAAGCACAGTGTTCAAAGGAAAAGGTTGGGTACAGCCACCTTAAGAAACGGAGAACTGGTCTACAAGAGGTCATGGATGTGGTGATTACATGACATAGTGGGGAGAACCCTTTCTCTGTGAACATATATAAAGAACAAATGCAGTAAAGAAAATAAGGAGCAGAGATGAACTCAATCGAGAGTGTACCAAAGATCAAGGTGAACACGAATGTGTGGTAGAGATGGCTGGGAGGAGATAAGGGCACCAAAGTGCTTCCAAGCAGACAGGAGAAAATGGGATGTGAGGTGATGGTGCAAAGGAATAAATGGGCTTTGGTTCCAAATCGCCATCTGTCAAGGATTACTCCCCCCTGGATGACTTACCGCCTCCACCTCTCAGATCACCCGTCTGTCAGTGAGGATGACACCTGCACCCAGCCCATACTGCTTTCATTTGGTTTTTAACTTTGTTTTTTCTTCTTTTTTTAGTTTTTCAAGACAGGGTTTCTCTGTAGCTTTGGAGCCTGTCCTGGAACTAGCTCTTGTAGACCAGGCTGGCCTCGAACTCCCAGAGATCCGCCTGCCTCTGCCTCCCGAGTGCTGGGATTAAAGGTGTGTGCCACCACCGCCCATCCAAGTTTGTTTTTTCAATACACATGTGCATGCCTGTGTTCATGTGCCACTGCGGCAGTGTAGAGGTCAGAGGACAGCTTTTGGGAGTTGGTTTCCCCCATCCCCTACACTTTCACCTACTAGACCATCTTGCTGGCCCCTTGTGTGGCTAATTTTATGCCAATTTGACATAGGTTAGAATCATCTGAGAAGAGGGAATCCCAGCTGAGAAAATGCCTCCAATAAGATTGGGCCGTAGGCTATCCTGTAGTATAGTTTTTTTTTTCTTTTTTTGTTTTTTTGGGACAAGGTTTCTCTGTAGCTTTGGTGGAGTAGTTTCTTTTTTTTTTTAAATATTTATTTATTTATTATGTATACAATATTCTGTCTGCATGTATTCCTGCAGGCCAGAAGAGGGCACCAGACCTCATTACAGATGGTTGTGAGCCACCATGTGGTTGCTGGGAATTGAACTCAGGACCTTTGGAAGAGCAGGCAATGCTCTTAACCGCTGAGCCATCTCTCCAGCCCCTAGTTTCTTAATTAGTGTTTAAGATGGCTGTACCTAACCTCTTCTACCATGCTTAGAAAGCATTTGCTAAAGGAATAAATGAGTTGTAATTGTCCTTTTTTGGCTATGAAAGTATACCATTCTATAGTTTTTCCTCCAGCTCATTAAGCCTCTGGGCTGATGATCCGGTTCAATAATAAAGCAGGCTGAACACACCATGGGGAGCAAGCCAGTAAGCAGCACCTTCTTTGGCCACTGTATCAGTTCCTGCCTCCAGGTTCCTGCTTTGAGTTCCTGTCCTGACTTCCCTCAGTGATAGAGCTTGACCTGAGAGTTGAAAAAAAATGAAAAAAACCCTTTCCTCCAAAGGTTGCTTTTGGTCATGGTATTTCATCATAGCAACAGTAACCCAAACTAAGAAATTAGTAGCAGGAAGTGGGGTATTGCTGTGACAGACCTGATCATGTTGTTTTGGTAGGATTGTGGAAGGACTTGGAATTTTGGCCTGGAAAAGCCACTGAGAAGTTAAGAGCTCAGTGGACTGTTTTGTAGGAGCGTAGAAGATAAGCACACTGAGAGCAATGCAGAATATGGAGGCCTGGCTTGCGAAGTTTCAGAGGGAAGTCAAGACTCTACCTGGCCATTTGTGTGACAAATATGTGGTGTCTAGTGGAAAACTCAGCTACGAATAACAAGAGACCAGAATTGCTAAATTAAACCTTTGTTTTGTTGGAGCAATGGATGCTGGTTGGCTGGGGCTGAAGAACCAGCTGTGATTAAGAAGAGACCAGCATCACTGAGATAAAGTCTACTGGGAAGTGTTTCCCCAGAGTTAGCACATGCAAACTGTGTTCAAAGGTAGCCAAGGTCGGGGCTGGAGAGATGGCTCAGTGGTTAAGAGCATTGCCTGCTCTTCCAAAGGTCCTGAGTTCAATTCCCAGCAACCACATGGTGGCTCACAACCATCTGTAAAGAGGTCTGGTGCCCTCTTCTGGCCTGCAGACATGCACACAGACAGAATATTGTATACATAATAAATAAATAAATTTTTTTTTAAAAAAAAAAGGTGGCCAAGGTTGTACTTTGTGCTGGCAGTCAAACCTGGTCACGTGTATCCCAAGTAGTACAGGTTTTGAAGCCATGAAACAATCGTGGAAAGCAATTGAGGCTTGGCACTATGAGAGGTCAGTGGTGAAGGTATACCCAGCATAGTAGTGGAAACCCCAGGATTGAAGGGGCCATGAAAAAGCTGAGGCTTGGCACCACGAAGAGAGCCCAGGAAAGGCTACTGGTTAAAGTGCAGCCCAGTTGTAGAAGACCTCAACATTTTGAAGATCCCAGTACCATGAGGTGATCACCAAGAACAGCAGAAGCCGTGGAGTGGAGCCAGCCAGACCCTAGAAGGCGAGCTGTGTGTGCTGCAGAGGGCGGAGCTAGAGAAGGGGGCCAAGTACCCCGGAGGAGCCCAGAAGGTCATGAGTGAATCCCAGACATTGGACATTGAATTATTTACATTATTCAGATTGGGACTGTGCCTTGGTTCTTCCCTCTTGAAATAAAAAAGTATTTAACTTAATTTTGATTTCTACAGGAGCCCATAGTTGAAAGACTTGAACTTTTAAAAGGGATTTTAGATTTTTAAGGAGAATGAACTTTTAATCTGCTTGAATTGTAAAGATGGTGCAACTTTAAAGTTATTTATGTTTTATAGTGTGATATTAGTATTGGTGTGCCATCTGAGGGATAAGTGAGAAAGAAAAGGTTCTAAGTAAAAAGTGTAGGCAATCTCCGTTTACAGAAAAGTGTTGTGCTTATGTGTCAAGCTGACAAGCAAGATGTGACTGTCTCGCCGCAAAAGGTTAGCCACCGAACCACGTGGCTAACATGGACAAGAATAATGGGCTAATATAGGTTATAAGAGTTAATAAGAAGCTTGAGCTAATGGGCCAATCAGTTTATAATTAATGTAGACCTCTGTGTGATTTCTTTGGGGCTAAACGGCTGTGGGACCTGGTGGGACAGAAAACGTCAGTCAACAGAATGGTGCCCACATGGACAGCTGCAGCCACATAAAGCCTGAGAGAGCCCAGGAAGTAAATCTAGACAGAAAAGAATAGAGTTAAGCACGGCTTATTGATAGCAGCATTTTCCTGGGTGGGCTCTGCTTGCTTGAGGCAAGCACTCTCATTTAAGAGAGGCTTCCTGACTCAGTTTTAGCTGCAAAACCTTGCAGCTCTTTTTAGAGGTCCTGCCACAAAACACTTGAATGGTGTTGATGCAAATTTTTTGGTGGTGGCAGGGACCTTGAAACACTGTAAAGTTGTGGTAATAAACAATAGCTATGGCTGGTACCTCTACCATGAGGTTGAAATCTCATAAAGCTAAGGAATGGGCTGGATCCAGCCATCAAAGCCACGACTTTAATCCTAGCCATATCATTTAGCAAATTGAAGACTCATGTAGTTAGAAAAAGAGAGATGCTGTAAAGATAGTTTCAGAAGAAAAAGCCTCTAAACAGTTTAGTGTGTTTAAAAACAAATACAGGCTTGGGAGAGAAAAGAAAAAAGGTTAAAGTCCTTAAAATAAAAAAGAAAGAGTAGTTGGGTGTGGTGGCACACACCTTTAATCCCAACACTTGGGAGGCAGAGGCAGGTGGGTCTCTGTGAGTTCAAGGACAAAGTTCAAGGTCTACAGAGTGAGTTCCAGGACAAAGATACACAGTGAAAACCTGTCTCAAAAAGCCAAAAATTAAAAATAAAAGAAATAAAGTTTAAAATAAAGCCACATAAAGATGGAAAACACAAAGAGAATCTGGATACTGTATGTTATTATGTTCTCTTTGAATTGTTTGAATGCTGAGGAAGGAGCAACAGCTGCTAAAAGATATTTGCTTATAAATGCTGCTGAATTAATCCAAGATAGGTATTTTGTAAATGCCTTGACTTCAAAATTGAAGTAAAAAACGATATGTTACTTTGGAGAAGAGGTTTTGCTTTTGTTTCTACAGGAAATAAGAGGCTGTACATTTATTTTGGGTTAATAAAAATAAGGTTTTTTCAAGGACGACCCCCTGAGAAATCTCCGAAAGGAGTGGATGGCCCAGATGTCTGAGTTCAACACCCAAGACTGCTGGCTGAGATGATCAAGCCTCACAGGATATTCCACTCAGGACTTGATCACAATTCTAAATTTTCTTTAGGTCACCATAAGATTATCAGCACCCCCAACCAGGAGGAAGTAGCCTGAAAAACTAAGCCCACATTCTCCCAAAATGGACTATGGATATTTTCCTTTGTTTAGAATGTTGGTTACAAGTTGTTATGGATAATGGTACAGAGAAAAGCTAAACAAAGGATATTAGATTCAGAGTTCTTGTTCTTTAAAAAAAAAGTGGGGGGGGGGGGTTCTGTGGGACAAGGTTTTACCCTGTAAACATTTGTTTCTTGTACTTGTTTAATAAAATGCTGATTGGCCGGTAGCCGGGAGGAAGTATAGGCGCGGTGACCATGCAGGAAGTAGAGGTGGGACAATGAGAACAGAAGAATTCTGGGAAAAAGGATTCTGCAGTCTGCAGCTGTGATCCAGACACAGAGCAAGCAAGATGTGACTGTCTCGCTGCAAAAGGTACTGAGCCACATGGCTAACATGGACAAGAATAATGGGCTAATATAAGTTATAAGAGTTAATAAGAAGCTTGAGCTAATGGGCCAATTAGTTTATAATTAGAGAGAGAGAGAAATGGTCTATAAGTTTGAGCTATAGGCAAGCCTGTCAGGCATTTACTGATGGGGGAGGGTCCAGCCTATTGCGGGTACCACCCCTGGGCTGATGGCCTGGGTTCTATAAGAAAGGCGGAGCAAGTCATGGGAAACAAACCAGTAAGCAGCACTCCACTATGGCCTCTACATCAGTTCCTGCCTCTGGGTTCCTGCCCTGTTTGAGTTTCTGCCTGCCCTGATTTCTCTCAGTGACAGATGGTACCTAGAAGTGTAAGCCAAATAAACCCTTTCCTCCCCAAGCTGCTTTGGTAATGGTGTTTCATCACAGCAATAAAAACTCAAACTAAGACACCCCTCATCAAGTTCCTGAGAGGATTAACTCAGCCATTACCTGCACTGCCCTTGTACCAGTGCCTGAGATACTGGGAGTACCCCATAAAGATGGAGGCAATTAGATTAGGAGGCTCGGACACAGCTTACTCATTGTGAAGGACATGATAGGACAAGGCAGAAATCTCCGATTCTTAATGACTACACAGAAAACAGGTAGCGCAGGATCAGTTAACACAACTCTCCCACTTGGCATAGCGGGGCATGCTGGTAATTCCAGAACTTGGAAGGAAAAGGCAAGAGGAATGGCTTAAGTGTGAGGAGATCTTGGGCTTCAAAGTGAGGCCATGTATCAGACAGTTAGACAGACAGCCTGTTACTTAAGAACAAAACTGCAAGATTGCCCACTTATAGCTGCACTTACTTATTGAGATCGATGTCTCTCCCATGTTCGTGGGCATCAATCAGCTGCTTGATAACATCTCCTATAGTCAACAGCATCAGCTCAGCAGGGCTGAGATCTCCTGTAAAGATTTTAACAGCAGCAAAAGTCTCATCAACATTTTTTACGTTTATTTATTTATTCGTATATATGTACATATGTAACACATGTATACACATGGGCATGCGCATGCAATAAAGTATGGAGGACGGGAGTTGGTTCTTTCCTTCCACTGCATGGGTTCTTAGCTTATCAGGCTTGGTGGAAAGTGGCCTTACCACAGAGCCATCTTGCCAGCCCTCAGTAAAGATTTAACAATCTTACTTAGTAATTTTCCTTCCAAAATCATCTCAAGAACAGCTCAGGGGCATCTAATTCTAAAATAATTTCAAACATGCCAAACACATAGCTCAAGAGGAGGAGACACTAAATCTGTATTGTTCACAATCTGAACATCTTTTGTATTTTCAATTAATGAGCCTCTCAAAAACAAACAAACCAAAAAACAAAACAAAACAAAAATAACAACAAAAAAACCAAACCAACATTATCTGTATGTGGGAAAAGCTCCTTTTAGAAGCCCAGGACTGAGAGGATATAGCAGACAGATACAGGAAAGAAGAAAGATAACTGCAGGAACAATCATGTACGGAAAGAACCTACGAGTGCAGGAAGGGGCCAGAGTAACTGAGTGTCTAGCCCTTCACTGCAGAGTGGCAATGATGAACACCGTAAGCCCACAGAGAACACTGAGATGCACTAACTCAATCTCAGACAGTGTGAGGGAAACAGAGCAGGAACTTGCCTGTCCCAGAATGCACTAACTCAACCTGAAGAGACTCAGGAGAAAGGACAGGACCACCTGCCCATTCCACAAAGATGTAATGAAGGGCCTTTGGCTGTCTTCTCATTATACAGTTCAGGCTGACTTGAATTTGCTATTGGTTCAAGCAGGCCTTGAACCTATGATTTTTCTGCTTCAGTTCTGAAATTATACTGCATGGACTACCTTGTCTGGCCTATCGAAGGATCTAGCCACATTTCTAAGACACCATCTGTAGACTTTCATGGCCTTGTCTCGGCAGCCCCTCTTTCATCCACAGAAACAGGAGATGCTGCTGCATGTCCTATCATCTTACAGCCACACTGTCACAAATGGCTCAGCCAAACCAGGATAATCTCAGCTCTTTTTCCTAAGGGCCAGCGGAGCCTATCTTTTACCAGCTGATAAGAATGGTGTGATGTCTTAGCTTGGGTGATAGCAACGACCATGCCTTCTGCCTGCTGGTGTAAAATAAAGAAGTGATCATAGAAGTGTGGCTAAGGAGGCCATGGAATTTACTGAGACCTTTCATCCAGTCCCATCTGAAACTCACTATCACACTGGAAAGCTGGTATTGCTATCCCATTTTATAGATGTTAAAAAATAGATCAAGCAGGGTTAAATCCCAGGTCCCTGTCTTCTCACCATAGTGTGCACTGTGTACCACACTGACTTAATGAGGCAAAGCTACAGACAAAACAACAAGAGAAAAGTCCACGTGCAGTCAAAGAGTAAATGCTTCCCCAGCACTTCTCAGTTCTACAAAGGTGGCCCAGAGACCGTGTACCAGAGGTGGACTTGGGGTGTGGGGTGAACACAGATGACATAGCATCCTGTCAGCTTGTACAGCCATATTCTCATACCCCCATCTGACTTCACTGAGAGGGCAGGAAGCTGTGTAGTGCGAAGTTTTACTCTTTTGGCTTTCTGTGGAGGCCTTTCACTCAGCTCCCAAATAAATCACACACGGAGGCTTATTCTTAGTTATGACTGGCTGACCTTAGCTTGGCTTGTTTCTTGTCAGCTTTTCTTAAATTATTCCATCTACCATCTGGGATTTCCTTTTCTTTCTTCTGTATAACTTCCTTTCACTCTTACTCAGTGGCTAGATAACTGGCCCCTGAAGCCCTCCTCCCCTTGTTCTCTCTTCTCCTCATTTCTCCTTCTATTTATACTGTCTGCCAGCCCCGCCTATCTGTGCTCCTGCCTCACTATTGGCCGTTCAGCTCTTTACCAGGACCTTCGGGTGTTTTAGAGAGGCAAAGAATCACAGTTTCACAGAGTTAAACAAATGCAGCATAAACAAAAGCAACACACCTTAAAATAATATTCCCCAACAAGGCTGGGCTGGTAACACAAAGATGTGTAAAACTTCCAGGAAACAAAGAGGATGGAACAGCGCCAGACATTACAACTACCTGTTCTGGTGAAAGGAGACCTATCTAACTTGAACACAGGCTGCCTGAACAGGGTTCAATAAAAACACAGAACACTGGCCACTATGCAAAGGCATAAAAGGTGTTAACAACGCTCTAACTTAAGAAATGAAAGCAGTTTTTAAAGAAAGAGAGGTTATCAATATAAACAAAAGGGGGGGAAAAGATACAATCAATTTGGATTCTAAACAAAAGGCTTTTGAACAGTACATTAAAAATCCACATATGTGAAGACCTGAGTTCGAATCCCAGCACCCATGTTAAAAGCTAGACATAGCGACATTAATACCTATAAACCTAGAATGTGTGGCAAGATTGCTGGTGCTTGCTGGTTGCCAGCCTAACTCCAAGTTTAGTGACAGATCGTGTCTCAAGGGGTAGGGTGGAGTGTGACAGAACAGAACATTAGAACTCCTCCTCTGACCTGCGCTCCCACATACATAAGTGCAAACACCACACTTCTCTACCCATACAAAACAACAACAACAAAATAAAACCTACAAGATGCAAAGAAAACCTTTAAGCTGACAGGCAGCAGACCTGACCCAACAGACAAATCTCAGAAGACAGATGCAAGAGTTGACAAAAATAAATGTACACGAAAGCAAAAATGGTAGAGGGAATGACAGCAAGAAAACAAATGTAAGAGGTGATTTCAAAATAAGAACTAAAATTAGAAAACAACCTTCCTCAAGACCCTGCAATACCACTTTTGGGTATATATCCAAAGGATGCTCACGCGTACCACAAAGACATGTGCTCAACTATGTTCACAGCAGCATTGTTTGTCATAGCCAGAACCTGGAAACAACCTAAATGCCCCTCAATCGAAAAATGGATAAGGAAAACATGGTACATTTACACAATGGAGCACTACACAGCGGAAAAAAACAATGACATCTTGACATTTGCGGGCAAATGGATGGATCTAGAAAACATCATATTGAGTGAGGTAACCCAGACCCAGAAAAACAAATATCGTATGTACTCACTCTTAAGTGGCTTTTAGACATAAAGAAAAACCAACCTGCAGTCCATAATCCCAGAGAACCTAGACAACAATGAGGACCCTAAGAGAGACATACATGGATCTAATCTACATGGGAAATAGAAAAAGACAAGATCTGAGTAAACTGGGAGCAGGGGACCTTGGGAGAGGGCAGAAGGGGAGGGGAGAAAAGGGAAGGGAGTGGAGAAAAATATATAGCTCAATAAAAACAATTAAAAAAAAAACCACAAGAACAAAATAAAAACTAAGGTGTTGGTGACTGTTAAAGCCAAAAGAGTAAAGTTGTGTGGCCTGATCACCTCAGAAGGAACAAGTTATAACGCGACAAGATCAAATCAATCTAGTGCATGTTGTGTTTGGTGCGACAAGAATACAGGCCATGCTGTTTGGAAGGGAAATTCCAGTTAATGCCAAGAAGCAGTGACCAACAACACACTTAGTTTTCATTTGATGCCGGGGGGTCAAGGGCTCACCATGACCAGTCGGCTCCACACATTAAGTATAAATTTAGACGACACAACTTCAAAATGGCTGGGTAAAGGTTCAGTTCCCAGCTATTGTTCTGACAGCAGACAAGCATTATCAGAACAACGGCTCAAGATGGTCTGCAGAGCTAGGAGTGGAATCTATTACAAATACTAAAAAAAAATGTTTTTTTTTCCTTTCTTTCTTTCTTTTTTTTTTTTAATGACCTCATTCTGTTGAAAAACCTGCACAACATTGCTCCAGGCCATTCCGGGGGTAAAACAAAAGGGAGCAAGTCCACGTAAAGCTGTTGCGCAAACTGCGTGGATAATTCCTACTTTAAGGAAGGGCCGACGCCTTTCCTACTTTAAGATTTAAAAACCAAACCAAACCAAACCACCAAATAAACACGTCCAATCAGTCGCCACAAATGAAACTGCGACGCCTTAAACCCACTCCCCACCTTAAAGCCTCTGAGACCTATCTTGGAATAACGGTACCATCCACCCAGCTACACAAAAGACACCAAGCAGCCCCTTCCAAAGAGGAAGAGAGGAGAGGCTGTTGGACACAAAGCACACAGATAAAGATAGGCCAGCCGACCCCAGGGCGCGGGGGTCCTCAGGGAGGAGAAGTCCTTGGACGTGTGGGGTTCATCCAGGTCTTGCGGGTCATCCATTGCCGCCTCCCTTTCCCCTTCGTCCCGCTTTGTCTTTTTGGCACCTTTCCTCTTCTGCTTCATCAGTACGCGTTGTAGGGGGACGGCGCCACGTTACCGTAGCTCGGACTGCGGAGGAGCCGAGAAGCCGTAAAGAAACCCGGGACTGTCGTGAAAGCACAGCGATTGTACCAGAAAGCTCTTCCCAGAAGGCGGCGCGCGGAGCCCCGCCCTGTCTGGGTGGCGGCTCGCTGTTCACTCGGACTGGGAGGGGCCGTGCGTTGCGTTCTGATTCTGAGGGAGGATGGGGAATTATTTTGGAACAGCCAGCTAGCCCTGGCTGGTACCGACCGGACAGTTTATTTAAAGCAGCTGCTCTGAGAAGCTGGGACGAGTGTGAGGTGTAACCTGAGTTCTTAAAGCAAAAGCCTGGGCTCTGACAATTTCCTCAAGTGATGCTGCGACACGTGTCACCAGCAGAGCCAACCATGTTGGGAAGACGAACAGATAAAGGAGACCAAGGACCCCCCCCCCCCCCCCCACACACACACACACTTCACCCTCCTCCCCACATCCACACCCAAGCCTGTCTTTTAGGGGTGTTGATATAAGCGTTAGTTTTTAAAGGTTATGGAAGAAATGAGGGCAGGAACCACGAGGTATGCTTTGTTTAAACAATCCTGGAGAAGGTGTGCTCTGGTTGATCAGTGTCTCAGTTCTGCTTTGCAAGGTGGTCAAAGTCTTTATTACTGATATCCCTCCAGGAGATCCAAGATAATCACTTACTGCCCCAGGGCACTGCTAAGGGCCCTTAGATGGTCAGGAGTCTGCCCTTTGAGGCTCTGTTTTCTCTGGAGTTAAGATGACTGCAGGTTTAGGACTACGATTTGTTTTTGTGCCTTCAGCCAGAGTAAAGGAGACAAATAGACACAAATAGACACAGAATGAAGACAGAAAACAGGCGGTTATCCTGTACTTAGTTACTTGTGGTCTCAAGTGGGGATTCAATGCTTGTTTTCTTGTCTTTGTTTTTTCCTCCAAAGGAGCGTGGGAAGTGCCTGTTTCAAGAATGCAGATGTGAGTGGTCCTTGCAAGGAGGAACTCAGGCACAGCACACAAAGACTGGATAGAAATCCCACACACCATGAGATTCAACCTTCACTGTAGTGAAAGCTACGCTCTAGTTTTCCTGAAAGACACTAGGCAAGAAGCAAATATCAACTTGATCTTGCAAGCTCTGCAGTCTATAGCTTCCCTGAGTCTCAGATAAATGACACGACACGTCTTTCTTGATAACTGTTCCGAAAACACTGATGAAGCAAGCCAGTAAGCAGTACTCTCCATGGTTTCTGCACCAACTCTTGCCTCCAGGTCTCTGCCCTGTTTGAGTTCCTGTTCTGTCTTCCTTTGGAGATGAACTATGATGTGAAAATATAAGGCAAAGCAACCCTTTCCTCCCCAGCTTGCTTTTGGTCATGATGTTTCATCTCAGCAATAGAAAGTCTAAGATAGACTCCAGTGTCATCAAGGTGTGGGAACCAAATAAAGCAAGAGATTATTGTGCCTCAAACAAGGGTAGAAAGCCATGGAAATGGTAAGACTTGTTCAGGTTCTGAAAACGTTTTTGATGACTTCAATAGGTCATCCACTCAGAGTGGGATCGTGTGTGTGTGCGGGGGTGGGGGGTAGACATCAATATCAAGTGTGAGACCACAGCTTTTGGAGCAAGAGGAACATATAGTTGTCATTATCTGATATGAGGTGTCTGTAATGATCTGTTCTATCTCTTTAAGAGACAGGCCATACCCACTTTCTCCTCTGTCCCCCTAAGGCAGGCTGATCTTCAGCTTCCAGCCTGAGTTCTTCCCTTTTCCCTCTCCCCTAGAAGAGGCAGCTTTTCTCTCTTCTCTTCTCTCTCTCTCTCTCTCTCTCTCTCTTTCTCTTTCTCTCCTCTCTTCTTCTTCTCCCCCTTCCCAAACTTTCATAACCCACTAAATAAATATTCAGCCTCACTCTGCATGGCATACCTATCAGTCTGTCTGTCGTCGGCCACTGCCATGTGGCTCGCTGCCGGGAACCACCACCTTGGGAGACCTGTGGTGTGATCTTGTGCACTGTCCCTACCTGGGACTGGCTGCTCTTGGGACTGCTACCCCCTATCTGCCACCACATGGCCCGCTGCCTGTTGCTGCTTGGGAACCTGCAGCGTTTCTGCCACTGCAGCTACTTGGGGATTCCGCAGCATTTTAATTAATCCATCTCAGTGTCCAGAGGGCCTGACTTTGGGTCTGTTGTGTTTGGGATGCCTGGTGAGGGGCAGACCCTGAAAGAGATTGTAGATTGAGATCCCAGTTGAGAGATTTAGATGTCTGGTGAAGTTTAAAGTTGTGAAACAGGGTAAAAGAAGAGGCTGAAGCCTAAGCCTTGGGGTGTTCTATTAGCAGATCAGAGACAAGACTGGTAACCAACAATGAAACTGGCCGGGTACAGGAGGTGGGAGGAGAACCAGGAGAGTGTGGGAGACCTAGGAGCCAAGCCAATGTCAAGGAGCAGGGAGTTACCAGCGGGTCAGACACTACTGAGGAGTCAAGGACAGTGAGGACTGAGTTGATCAGGATCATTGAGGGACAGTGATGAGAAAGAACAGTTAGGAATGGTCCCAGCTTGATTGGTGTAGGTTGATGTGATTGCTAGTCTTCTTTATCATCATGACATAGTTGGAAGAGAACTTCAATGAAGAATTGCCTCCATCAGAATTGCGTGAGGGCCATTTTCTTGGTGGTTAATTGATGGAGGAGGGTCCAGCTCACTTGCCTGGTACCAATCCTGAGCAGGTGGGACTGGGCTGTATAAGAATAAGACAGGTAGCTGAATGTGAGCTTGGGAGTAAGCCAATAAGTAGCATTCCTCCATAGTTTCTGCTTCACTTCCTGCTCGAACTCCTGCCCTGACTTTCTTCATTGTTGGACTGTGACTTAGAAGTATAAGCCAAATGAACTGTTTCCTCCTGAAGTTGCTCTGGTTAGGGTATTATCACAGCAACAGAACCCCACTAGGATAGTTCATAATCGATACAGAGGTGAGGGTTGAGAAAATTTGTCATAAGGAAGGATTGATAAATGGGGTAGTAGTAGCTGGCAAGGAACCTGAGATTAAGGGGTGATACAAAATGGCAGTGCAGAGTGGTGATGGGGCACTGGAGTGGGGAGCAGTCATGGGAGTAGGGTGTGATGACACTATGTGCAAATTCTTTCATTGGCGTTGATACTTTTCTTGAGTTCAGTGGGAATTCAGCCTGGCAGGGTGACCAAACCTCTAACCAGCCTAGCATTCAGATGTTAAGAACTGTCATAAACCAATAAAACCAAATCGAAGACCTGGATATTAGTCCACACACATTCAGACACCTGATTTTTGACAAAGAAGCAAAAAAAAAAAAATCAAATGGAAAAAAGAAAGCATATTTAATAAATGGTGCTGGCATAACTGGATATCACCATGTAGAAGAATGAAAATAGACCCATATTTATCACCATGCACAAAACTCAAGTCCAAAAGGATCAAAGACCTCAACATAAAGCCAGCCACAGTGAACCTCATAGAAGAGAAAGTGGGAAGTACACTTGAACGCATTGGTACAGGAGACCCACACTTCGTAAATATAAGTCCAGTAGCACAGACACTGAGAGAAACAATTAATAAATGGGACCCCCTGAAACTGAAAAGCTTCTGTAAAGCAAAAAACACAGTCAGCAAGACAAAATGACAGCCTACAGGAGGGAAAAGATCTTCACTAACTGATGTGGGTGTCCCCTCTGTGTTCTGTGATTACCACTAATGTGATTACCATTAAAGAAACTGCCTTGGCCTGTTGATAGGGCAGAACTTAGGTAGGCGGGGAAGATGGAACTAGATGCTGGGAAAAAGAAGGTGGGGAGAGAGATGCCATGCATCTGCCAGCCAGAGATGTGCTGAAACTTCGCTGGTAGGCCATGACCTCATGGTGATACACAGATTAATGGAGTTGGCTTAAATTAAGATGTAATAATTAGCCAATAAGAAGTTAGAACTAATGGGCCAAGCAGTGTTTTAAATAATACAGTTTCTGTGTGGTTACTTCAGGGCTAAGCTAGCCAGGCAGCCTGGACAAACAAGTGCCTCCTCCAGCAACTAACCCCACATCAGACAGAAATCTGATCTTCAAAATATACAAAGAACTCAAGACATTAAACATCAAAAGAACACATAATCCAATAAAAAAATGGAATATAGACCTAAACAGAGAACTCTCAACAAAGGAATCTAAAATGACTGAACGGCACTTAAGTAAATGCTCAGCATCCTTAGTCATCAGAGAAATGCAAATCAAAACAACTCTGAGATTCCATCTTACACCTGTAAGAATGGCCAAGATCAAAAACACTGATGACAACTTATGCTGGAAAGGTTGTGGGGAAAAGGGAACACTTATGCACTGCTGGTGGGAATGCAAGCTGGTACAGCCCTTGGATGTCAGTGTGGTGATTTCTCAGAAAATTAGGAAATAACCTTCCTCAAGATCCAGTAATACCACTTATGGGTATATATCCAAAGGATGCTCAATCGTGCCACAAGGACCTGTGCTCAACTATGTTCATAGCATCTTTGTTTGTCATAGCCAGAACCTGGAAACAACCTAAATGCCCCTCGACTAAAGAATGGATAAGGAGGGGCTGGAGAAATGGCTCAGTGGTTAAGAGCATTGCCTGCTCTTCCAAAGGTCCCGAGTTCAATTCCCGGCAACCACATGGTAGCTCACAACCATCTGTAATGAGGTCTTGTGCCCTCTTCTGACCTACAGATATACACACAGACAGGATATTGTATACATAATAAATAAATAAATATATAAAAAAAAGAATGAATAAGGAAAATGTGGTACATTTACACAATGGAGTACTACACAGCAGGAAAATAACAACATCTTGACATTTGCAGGCAAATGGATGGAGCTAGAAAACATCATTTTGAGTGAGGTAACCCAGACCCAGGAAGACAATTATCACATGTAATCACTCATAAGTGGTTTTTAAACATAAAGCAAAGAAAATCAGCCCACAAATCACAATCCCAGAGAACCTAGATAATAATGAGGACCTTAAGTGAGACATACATAGATC